TATACCTTAAATAACCAAGAATGAAATAATTGTATTTATTCAGTTTATAATGGTCTGTTAAAAATGTCCAGCTAAAGTTAAAATGCCATGCAAGAAATGAAAGAAGATTCTGGAAACCTGTAATATGAAAGCTAGAAATATTCTTAAAAGATTGTTCTGGTAAAAAAAAAAAAAACATCATTTTACAGATGAAGAAATCAAGACATTTCCCCCTGAGGTCACCTGATAATTAGTGTTACAATAGCAGCACTAAAATGCAAGCTTCTTGAATTCTCAACTAAGGTTCATTACAAATTATTGACAATTATAAATTATGCTTTAAAGCACCTGACTTCACAAAGTCAGAGCTTCGGGGTTCACTTCATAAATATACCGAGTCCTAACCTGCACAGGTCAATCAGACTTCCCAAGTTTTTCATATCAGCAGGAAAATGACCACCATCTATCTTAGTATTACCCACCTATAACTATTTCTAACTGGCTGGTGAAGGTAACTCTTCAATCTCTTTGGAGAAAATTTCTGTGGGTTCTATGATTCTCCCTTCAAGGAAAAAAAATGGAAAAAAATCTGGATCTTCAAATGGCTTCATGCAGCAGAACTATCTTGCCAAGCTAGACTACTTTAATTGCTAGATGAGGCAGGGGGATGTTTAGGTATTTTATATAAACCATTTTTTAGCCACTGAACAATGAAGACTTCCCCTAAATACTGATATGAAACTGTTGGTTATAGTCAAATTTTTTTTAACCCCTTGTACTCTTGGCCTACGGTGCAAATCAACAGCACTCTCAGTTAAGAATAAGCCATATAGGCCCTCCCTGGTGGCGCAGCGGGTTAAAGCACAGCACTAAGAAGCTAAAGCCACTTCAGCATGAGTTCGAATCCCGCCTGCCCCGGAGGTGACCACATAGTGTGGCAGACCTCTCCTGACCTGCCCACTGCTCCCCTCAGCAGTGTACTTTGTTGATCTGCCTGTTCTGCTCCCCACTCTGTCTCTGGTGAAGCCTCTCACCCTCCGCATCTGTGGCCTGTACCCCAGTTCTGTATGAATAAACAAATAAATCTTTAAAAAAAAAAAAAAGAATAAGCCATATAAATGAACTAAGAACATGACCGAGAAAGAACCTTCAATCTTGGTGCTGAAGAACAGAGCTGTACTTTTTACCAGCATTAAGGTCTGATTCATCCCACCTGTTCCAAACAGACAGGAAAAAAATAGTAACAATAGCTCAAATTACCACTTCATAAGCAACAAAAATCATAGGCAGAAACCTGGATGGGCATCACAGTGGCAATTCTTACCAAATGTACCAACACAGAAAAACATCCTGCAAAGACAACTCCATTTTTTAATGGGGGTTCCTAGACAAGACAATCTTTGAGGTCACATACAGAGCCTAGTCTGTGATTTCTAGATCCTTACAAAATGATATCATAGTGAAAAAGGAATGTTATCTAGCAGGAATAATAGCATTATTTTAATATGAAAATGTTTGCATGATGGAAAATATCCAGCTAGAATATTACAGTCATATGCCTTAATTTAATCCTGGCCATAGACCAAAATACCTCCTTTTAAGATTATTATTTTAGTTCTAGACAACTCAGTATTGTAAGAAGATCAAGTAAAGGAAAGATTCCAACTCTGAGTTTTCATGAAAACTTGGGTTTGAAGAAAGTAGGTCAAACTGACCGTTCTTTGTTCAAATCAGTACAAAAATTTGATCTAATCACTGAAGCAATCACAAAAGAGGAAGCACAAATATAAATGATGTCAAAGGGAAGTATTCAAGTGTTCTAGACTCCTGAGCACCCAGCAACTCAAAATGAGGACAGCCTGCCTCTCAAAGGGCCCTGAAAAGACTAACTTACCCCTCCCACCCCACAACTTCTGTCACCAAATGCTCCCTAATCATTCTGAACTTAAAAGGGGATAAATAAAAAACTCTACAAAAGCAAGTGAGATAAATTTAAGAAAAATTGTAAAAGAGAAACTTTAAGAACTCACCCAAGATCTAAATTTCTTATTGGCTGCCAAATTAACTCCACAGTCAAGAAATGCATATTGAACTTAGTGGCCCTGGGAATACAGAAAAAGAAAATGGACAAGAGCCCTGTTCTTATAGAACTGACTCCCTGCTGGGGCAAACATATAAGTAATAAACAAAAGCACAAAGGCTAACAGACTATGCAGCCAATAAATTCAGTGCTGAATGTGGTTTAGGGGCTGGGAAGAGGAGCCACTATAATTAGGGTGGTCAGAGGCCTCTCTCTAATAGTGACTAGGGAGCTGAAACCTAGAAAAGAAGGGGGCAGCCTAGCGAACAGCTATGGGAAGGTTTCAGGTTTGTGTGCGTAGCCTGGCTTAGTCAGAGTCAGAAGTGGCTGTGAAGAAGACGGTAAGACAGAGAGGAAACTGGCTACCCTAATGGCACATGGCCTTCTACACCAAAGCATCTAATGGTAAATTCCTGAAACTCAGGAAACAGAGGGGAGAGGGACAAACGAAAAACCAAAGCATCCACTAAATGGGTGGGGTAAGAGGGAGAGCCACCTTTGTGTCATCAGCTAGCCTCTGTTCAGAAAAGACTCAGAATAAGTTTAGTGTGAAATAATTCTTCAGGAGGTAAGCAAGGACTCAGACTAAGTGCAACCTACTGATACCTCCAGTTGTTCTTATCACACCACAAGATTTATTTTGCTTTTTAACATAGCAAGAGTAATTCGTACAAATTATAATGGTACGATTTTAAGATTCACTCAAACTGAGGTGTCTTCATTTGTGATACTGACTGAGGCTCAAATGACCTATCGATATGCTCAAAAAGGTTTTCCTCTTACAATTCCTATCAGTTAATCTTCTTTACAGACTGATGTTAATTAACATTTCAAGACAATCTCTAATGACCTTCTAAATACATAATTCATAACAGAGAAGCTCAAATGTCCAACAGGTTTACCACTGGTGTTGATACAGAAATAAGACAGAATTATACTGTACATAGAGACAAAATTAACTAAGATAAACTTACTATTAAACAGAAGAAAAAATAGCACAAGAGTTGCATACACACTGGTTACAACTTTAGGACAAAGAGAAAATTTAAAGCAATGTAGTAAAGATACATTTTTCATTAAGTTGTTTCCCTTAATACATTTCTAAGTGATCTCAAAAAACCTATCTTAATAAGTAGAGTTTTTTAATATCTTTCTAGAATGTATTCTTAAGATTCTCTTCACCATTTTCACAATTTTAAAATCAGAATTAGCATCATAGATTTTCTGATATCAATTTAACTTAAGTACTTGAGCTATATACTACTGAACACTTCACTATTGACACAATAGGGGGAAATGGGCAAAGTTAACTCCTAAAACCACACAATTGACATAAATATTGAATGTCACCTAAAACTTTTCTACAGAGATTATAAATGTAGAGAATTGTTGCAAAACAAACTTCAGCCTTGTAACACATGCTCTAAAGCTCATTCAAAGCTTCATTTTCTTCCTATTCTGCTCCCTAATATATTAAAATGCTTCATCAATAATTCACTACGTCTGGCAAAATAAAAGGAATGTCATAAAAACAAAAATTGATGGACTTGTTTACTGCTGCCCAAATTGTCCTGTGAACTGAAAACTTTTCAGTTTTTCAAGACCATCCATATGTGGCACCCATAATTTTGATAAAGATTTGCTAATGTGCTCCTTTGCATTGTATTTAAGAATTTAGCTAGCTTTGTATGTATTACCCATCACTTAGCAGACAGTAAAATAAAAAAGAACTACTAAGAATACATACAAAAGGACATTAGAAAATTAACCCTGTTTAATTTGGATAGGAGAAAAATCAAAAGAAGAGAAACTTCTAAAATTCTAACTTCCAGTCAGTGTCTCTCCATCTCATCACTGATAGCCGGCAACTCTGCTGGCAGTTGTCTGTTGGTCATATTTTCTAAATCAAAATGTTATAGCAGATGAAAACAAAGGATGAGCATAAGAAATTAATTGCCAATGAATTGCACACTTTAAAATGATTAGGTTTTTTTAATTTTTTTAATATTATTATAGTTTATTTTTACATCATTTTGTAAAGCCTTTTTCCATCTCAGTTGTAATCCCTGTGGGCTTCCCATCACCAAATCACCTGTGTGCCATCACCACAGTCCAGTACCCTTCCCCCCTGCCCACCCCCATTTTTGATCCCATTCCCCACTCCACCTCTATAAAATGGCTCTGGTACATAGTTGTTCATTATTACTATTACCCCCCCACCCCCACCCCGCTGGTCTTTTATGCTCCTGCTATGAGTGAAGCCATCTGGTATTTGTCTTTTCTTTTTGGATTATTTCACTAAACATGATCCCTTCCAGCTCCATCCATGTTGCTGCAAAAGGCATGAGTTTTTTTTGATTGCTGAGTAATATTCCATTGTATATACATACCACATCTTAAAATGACTAGTTTTAAATAAATTAAAAGGCAAAAGTCACCAACATATCTACCTTACCATGAAATACAATGTTTGTTAATCACACAGACAATCTAGACAATGAAATTCTGAGGTTATATAAGCAAAGCATTATAACAAAAGATTTATATATTCATGATTAATTCTTCACATCCACAGAATAATGGAGAGTTGGGGGTATGAACTGATCATGATTGAAGCCGGGTGATGGGTACCGGGAATCTGTAACACTATTCACTCCCCTTTTGTATATATCAATATATCAATAGTAAATGGCTTTTTATATTACATCTTTAGAATGCCTGTGGAACTACAAAAGAAACACATATATATCAATGGTATATGAGAAGCCTAAAGTGAACAAAATTTTCATGTTACTTTATTATTGAGAATATTTACATTTTATTAATTGTTAACTTTTTTAATGAAGAAGGAAGCTTTTGCATTTCTTCAATGGTTGATTTCAACAGACCTCATACATGGCACACTTTATAAAGAGCAACAATTTATTGGATCTGTACGTACCAGCAGTATCATAGGCCGTTTCCAAGTTGTCAATCCTATGATTCCAGAAAGTATCACCTACAAGGATAAACAGTATCATAAATCTAGAAGGTGGATTCTGATATACTACTCCTCAGTCTCTAAATTAAAAATGCTGAAATTTCAAAGCCTCCTAAACCAAACATTTCATATTCTCGATGACTTAACCCTGGTAGATCACTGTGGACTATGCTTCACATCCAAACCCCCAAAGCATTTTTATGTTTTGTATGTTTTTCCTTGAAGGCAAGAACACAGAACACAGAAACAGAACTTGGCCTACCCTTCCAGCTACAGAAGGAATCAGTATTTGGGATCCAAACTCCCTGCTGCCAGTGGCACCTAACCTGGTGCCAGAGTCAGCAATACAGGAAGCACGAGTGGCCAAGCCATTCGCAAACTCCTCAAAATCCCTGCCCCTTCTACCACACACCTTCCTTCTAAGTACACCTGTCCTTCCATGGGCAGGCTGAGCTCTAGAAAATCTTGGGTTTTTGTTTCTCTTTGTCCTATTTTCCCATCGTTCCTAGCTACTTAAGACTCTTATGCATCCTGACCCTCCCTGATGGTGCAATGGGTTAGGATGCAGCAATGCAAGCTGGCTACAGCAGCTTTGGTGCAAGTTTGATCCCCGCCCCAGAGGTCACCCACCCCCTGCTCTCCTCAGCAGTGTACTTTGTCGATCTGCCTGTTCTGCTCCCCACTCTGTCTCTGGTGTATCCTCTCACTGACCCTGCAGCTCTGGCCTGTACCCCAGTTCTGTGTGCATAAAGAAATCTTTAAAACAAACAAACAAAAAGACTCCTATGAATCCTGCAAGACCCTCGGGGAGCCTTTACTAACCCCACTACCTAAACTCCGGAAGAAAATCTCAGTTGTCATAATTAGAGGTGCATCGATCTTGCCCATTATCTGCCTCAGCATCTACTATACAGTACTTGTCACATGACTGGCAAGCATTATGCCAAAACCTAAACTGGAAACCAGCACCTGCCCTTTGGATAACAAAGTTCATTTAGCAGTTGAGAAAGAATAATCAAAGTAATTATTCAGACCAGGGACACAATGGGGCGATTTCAGCACATTTACCTTTGTGTAGTAAGTGCATCTGTTGATGGAAGTTATGAGCGTTTCCTTTCATGTTCACCTTTTACCAAAATCCTTTAATAATGTACCAATTACTGTTTATAACCATAAATCAATACAGGTTTTAGTGTTACTTCAAATTCTAAGCTCAATGACCAGCTTGCAGTGTTCTCCATTCTCGGTGAGTGAGAACAGATCACTGCCTGCATCAAACTAGCATAAGGCCAGTCTGCCCACTTGGATCCATCAAGGACCAAATGCATACATGGACAGGTAGGACAGATTCTTCTTATTCCATCAGTGTTTAAACTCACTATCAGTGGAGTCCCCACAAGGGCACTATAATCATCTTAAACTCCAACAGATCCTTTCTCACTCCAAACAATTTCTGCAGAGACACAAGAGGCTATGTGGGCTGCATTGACTTCGCAAGCAGAGACTTGGAAACTAGGAGATCAAGTTATTTCACTTCAGTCCTCTCTGAAGCAGGGTAAGTGAAGGAAACCATCTGTTTCTGTTCTAACATTTACCCCGCTGTGGTGGTAACAGTTCCTCAGGAACACCGACCAGCACTAGCTCGAGCCTGGAGACTGTATGAGGGCAAGCACACATGTGTGTGCATGTGTGTGGCATGTAAGTCTCACATACATGCATGCTTTTTGCACAGGTGTGTACGTGCACACATGCTCCCTGCCTGGCCACACTGCTGCTTACCAGACTTTGAGGAGGAAATGGAAGCTATTTTTGTGAAAACATAACTGATAATTTAATAGTTCTTGGGGGAAACAGACTTCCCATTTACTAAAATATAAATAAAATTTTAATTATCAATTGCTGTTTCATATTTAGGTCACCAGTCTCCATTAATACACAACCTTTTGTGGTTTAGCTTTCTAGAACACATTTTTCTCATCAAAACATTATTTTGATTATTAAATAGTTATATGCCTGACCTCTGCTTCCTACCTTCTCCTCCCAGGCATACCATTCCATCCTTCTCCACCTTGACTAAATTTACAAATTTGGCACATGTACCTAATTTTCTCTAAATTTTTATTACTAGATACACATTTATATGTCTAAATGTATGTATGTATGATATATTTAAGTATATGCACATACATTTAAGGGGTATAATTTTTCCAAAGTTAGATCAAAGAAGATATTTTTCTCCTCTTCTTTTTCTCTCTCAGTAAAAAATTCATGGGAATCTCTCCATGTCTGCTAAAATAGCTCTCATTCATCTGTATTTAATGGCTACATAATATTCCATTGTATAGTGTAGCTAATGTATTCAGTCATTTCCACATTCATGGTTTTCACATTATTTCCAGTTTTGTTTTGTTTTTAACCCTCACAAACAACACTGCAATAAACAGCCCTTTTTATTTCTGTTGAACAAAGTCCCAGGAGCAAGACTGTTAAATTGAAAAGGGTATTTTTTAACTAGATCATGACAGATACAACTGTCATTGCAAGTGAAGTGAATCTGGGACAAAAAGCTAAGTTATTTCTTGACTTTTTTGGAAGGGAGAGTACATGTATCAGTAGCAAATGTAAGATAGCCTTAAAAATATGTACAAAATATATTTGACAAATAAGAAACATCAATAATCTCAAAATACATAAGCTACTTAAGGCTCAGTAGGCAAATATAAAGCTTATTGAGTACTATTAAATGAAGACCCAAATAATGAAGACTTATATATTGGAAGACAAAGTATTTAAAGATTTTGTTTTCATTTGAACTGTTTCATAAATTCAGCACACGCCCACATTAAATCCCAACAGGACTTTTGTAAACCACCCTTGTTTTTTTAAGGTGCTTTAAGAAACCACATTCCATTATAGGTGGAAATTATAGTTACATCTTCATCAGACATGAATCCTGCAACAAAAGCTCAGTCTACTTCTACTCAATTTTTCCCACTCATCAAAACCAATTAAGTCCTAAGACACTTGGGGAATCCTTTGAGTGCTGAGAAAACAAAACTGGAAGTAGAACTGGATAGTCAAAGGCTTCTAGAGTACAGAACAAAAGTGTTGCTGTTGGGGATGTATCCTTTAAGAGCCCAAGACTTAGGGAGTGGATGCTCATATGTTTCCTCTGAAGGAAGGGTAGAACGGAAGAATGTGGAAAGGGACTGGGAAGTGGAGACAGAAAGGGGGCAGCATATTTCATGCATTAAAAGGATCCCTCACCAGCAGTCCCTCATAGCACCATCACACCATAATGCTATTGTAGTCTAATTGTATTTTATATTCACTGATAATCTCATGAGGGCTTGAATCTGGGAGAATTCACTCAAAACATTACTAAAATCTCCCAGATACACAGAAACATACAGCAAAAGTCAATGAATGAGTGAACAAGTTATAAATAAGTAAATAAATAATCAAAAACAGGAGATGAATGTTCTCAAAGATAACTCTGTAAGCCTAAATACACTTTTTACTTCTAGGCTTAACCATACAACATAGCTAAACGTAACTCCATCAGTGTTCTTTCCATCCATTGCAAGATGCCACTTGCCTAAATGAGAGGCAAGAACCTATTTTATAACTACAAACTATCTCTATACTACTATGAGATTTATTTATTGGGTTTCATTTACTTATAAACCATGTCTTACAGTTTATAAGAAGAAAAACAGACTTTTCTTTTTGTTTGACACTGCAAAAGAGAATTCCACAACACTCCAGGCAAGAATCACTGTTACTCACAATACATAGTTAATGTACCTTAAGTTCCTTCTTGCAAACCAAATAATAAAGATCAAAAGTATATTAATTCTACTACCCCATTTTTCTTTGCTAATCCATTAATATGTCTTAAATATGTTCTGAAGTGTCAAAAGTTGCTATAGCTAAACAAAGAGATTTTTTAAAAAGGTTATGTTGTAAATACCCATGTTAACCTTATATACAAGCACAAAATAATCAAACCTCTCAACAACCTATCTTTCCCTTAGCTTTTACACTGGCAATTAAAAAAAAAATAAGCAATTGGATTTTATAATGTATACACGATGGTTATCAGAATGTCTCCTTCCCCCCTCCCCCGCCAAAAAAAAAAAAAACCTGACCTGTTCACTTTACTCTAATTAAATATTATCTTGATGTTTAAGATACAATGATAAACTTTCTCAAGTGTACCAGGCCTAATGCTGCACCTAGCAGTTAAGTACTCTTCTATATGTTCTCTACACCCTCACAAAGTTATTTCTGAAGTGAGACATCTCACCATTTCACAGATGAGTCACTGACAGATTTGATGACTGGCTTAAAGAAGTTATCGCTGTGACTTGGCTGCCATATAAAATAAAGGACTAAAGAAAATCAATGAAATTTATCACAAAAACTTGTATTCAACGTATTCCTTAGATACTTAGGCTGTATTTGATGATCATAATAGAAATCTAGTTACTGTTATCTTACTGTAGGTACTTCACAATAGTTCAGAATTAATTTCTTCCTTGTACTATGCATTTGTTTTTACATTTTGTCACCGCAATTTTTTTTAAAGATTTATTTATTTATGCATACAGAGCTGGGGTACAGGCCAGAGGTGCAAGGGTGGTGAGAGGATTCACCAGAGACAGAGTGGGGAGCAGGATAGGCCGACTGACGAAGTACACTGCTGAGGGGAGCAGTGGGCAGGAGAGGTTTGCCTTTCCATGTGGGTCACCTCCCGGGGCAGGGATCAAACTCATGCTGAAGTGGCTTTAGCTTCTTAGTGCTGTGCTTTAACCCACTGCACCACCAGGGAGGGCCCTGTCACCGCAATTTAAAATAAAAAAAAAAAAGATTTGCCTTTAGCATCACCAAATCAGTCTTTTTATAAAGACATGGAATCTTGCTAAAGACTCCCGGACTCAAGGGGAGGGTGGCCATGAGTTTAGGTCAGTGACAAAGCAGAAAGACATGAACGATGTACATGTTAAAGGCTATTAGGGCTCTGAGCAGAGGACCAAAAATAATTCTCTACCATTTGCCTGAATTAGCTCCCAAGGATCATATATGTTAGCAAAGTCAGGAATTTCATTTTGTGATGCAGGAGACAAAAAACCAATGCAACTGTCTTTTATTATCTCAATAAACCTAACACAATTACGGGTGGCAGGCTCCGCCTTACCCAGAGGAATCTAACTATTAGTAACTAAACATACCCCCAAATCAGGAGCCAGGGCATCCTAACACATAGAGACCCTCTTCTGCCACCCACCTGGGGCCAAACTTCAGGTTGCTGTTCCAAGTGGCTAATCTCTTAGCTTCATGGACCTCATGGGTATAGCAATATACTGAGTCATTGACCAAAGATATCAGGAAGAAAATAAATGAGTGCAGGGTGCAAAACACATTGCCTGTCCAAGTGACTGAAAGTATGAATATAAAGGAGGGTAAAAAGAGTCTTTCTAGGACTTAGAAATTCTTAAATGTACACTAAAATAGATTCTATATGCCATCCAAGTTCATACAAGAGAAGGAGACTGAAAATCTCAGGCTCAATGTGAAAACACTTGCAGAAGTATATATAGAAAAACATTCTTTAACTATACCCTGGTTAACAAACAGTCTTTTCAAATGACTGTATTTGCCCCTTGAACTTAATTTTGTATTAAATATATGAGTAAATGTTTTTACTGACACCAAAAGAAGAATTGCCATTGTAGTTGATAACGCAGACTAAGGTGCATTGTGGTCATTCAGAGCTGAAACATGAAGATATCCTTCTGCTGTGTTGGGTCTGAAGTAACCTTAGATTTAAGCTGGCACTGCCACCCAACTACCTAGTTCATAGGCCAATAAAACTTCTGACTGATAGATACCACGTGTTCTACCTCTATAGTGAAATGTCATTCAGCAATAAATAGCGGGAAGGACCAACCAGTGCCACAACGTGGATGATCCTGACTACCTCAGGATGCAAAGTGAAAGTGACCATGTACTATAAGACGCCATTTACATGAACTGTCCAGAATAACAAATCCATTGAGACAGAAAGTAGATTCATCAGTGGTTGCTTAGGGACAAGGAGGCCAGGATGAAATGGGGAATGACTGCTAATGGATACAGGGTTTCTTTTGGAGGTGACAAAAAATTTCTAAAATGATTGTGGTGATGGTCCTACAATTCTGCCAATTTACTAAATATCATTGAATTTCACACTTTAAATGTGTGAGTTTTATGGAGTACAGATCACGCCTCAAAACTTAAAAAAAAAAATTTCTGCAGTTCACAATAATTTTAAGCTTTTTTGTTTTTTTTAAAGATTTATTTATTTATGCATACAGAACTGGAGTACAGTCCAGAGGTGTGCAGGGGTGGTGAGAGGATTCACCAGAGTCAGAATGGGGAGCAGAACAGGCAGACTAATGACATACACTGCTGAGGGGAGTAGCGGGTGGGTCAGGAGAGGCCCATGGTTATGCCATGTGGGTCGCCTCCCTGGCCAGGGATCAAACTCATGAAACTAATGCTGTAGCAGCTGTGGCTAGCTTTGCAGTGCTGTGCTTTAACCCACTGTGTCACAAGGAAGGGCTCACTTTTAAGCTTTTTTAAATAAAAATATTAATTTAGCTTTCTTTAGACACAATGTGCTACTAAACCCCTCTTTTAGAAATGCATGCTGAAATATTTGATAATTGAGATTCTGGTTCCTGTGGGTTTGCCTTTAAATAATCCAGTTCTGATAATAAAAAGGAAGTGGGTATGAGTATAAAGTGGCCATGTGTTAATAACTACTGAAGTGGGGTGATGGGTAAGTGTGAATGCATAATACTATTCTTTCTGCCTTTGTTGAGATCTACAACTTTCATAATAGAATGTTAAAAGTATACAAGAGAGGCCCTCCCTGGTGGCACAGTGGGTTAAAAGCACAGCACTGAGAATCTAAAGCCACTTCCTCATGAGTTCGATTCCCGCCTGCCCCGGAGGTGACCACATGGCGTGGCAGACCTCTCCTGACCCGCCCGCTGCTCCCCTCAGCAGTGTACTTCGTCGATCTGCCTGGTCTGTTTCCCACTCTGTCTCTGGTGAAGCCTCTCACCGCCCCTGAGCCTCTGGCCTGCACCCCAGTTCTGTATGCACAAATAAATAAACCTTTAAAAACAAAAAAAAGTATACAAGAGAGTCTTAAGACTTCCTGGTCACTACTCTGCTGTCTATTTATATTTTCTTTTTACATTTATACACATAATGAAATATTTATAACAAGTGAAATGCTATGAGATCTGAGATTTGCTTCAAAATATTGTGGGAAAATAATCTGACAAATAAGGAACATGAAGAATCTATTCCTATCCAGCTGGAAAGACCCATCTTTCTGGATTTATCAGAATGCACAGAGCCAGCAGCAGAGCCAGGAAAGGATACAGATGAAATAATTGTTTGAGTTGGGTGAGGGGTATATGAAAGTCCATTGTACAATGTTTGAATAAATTTAAAATTTTCCATAACAGAGTTCCAAGAAAATCTCTTTTACTTACATAAATTCTAAAGATGTGCTACTGATGGGAACTTTTCCTAAAATGCCAGGAGAATCATGGTAGGCACCATGCCATCCTCTTAAAATCAAATTTAGTTGTTCCGTAAATGCAGTAACTCTTAGTTCTGCTACAATTTACAAATTCTGAGGTCAAGCTCAGAAACTGGCAAAATAAATAAGAATAATTAATCAAACAGTTATAGGTTCGCATATAGAGCTGGGGGTTGGAGGAAGTATGAAAAACAACCCTATAGAAAATAATTTAGTTAGAAATAACTGATTGTTCCCCTGCTCTGTTGGGACATGCCTAGCCAGAAGGCCCAGGTTAATCACCCTCATCTTCTGGTTGATGGCTTGGTATAGATTAGACTGATAGATAGGAAGGTAGGTAGGTAGGGAGGGAGGGAGGTAGACAGTCAGATGTAAATATAATTCATCAACTCCAAATGTGGCTTCACTGACGCCTAAGTGTATTTACATCTGAATTAAATCATAATAATAAAAAATAAATAAATCACAATAATAAAACATTTTACTAATTAGGAGTTTTAACTTTAGAAGGTGAAAAAAGGCTTTCAATAATCCTAAACTAGTAATCCTTGAGAAGAAAAGCTTATGATTTTACAAAGACCAAATCCCTGAAAATGTATGTAAGATTCCCTTCTTATATGATGCTTAGAAAAGTTAAAGGCACCCACCATTTGGCTGAATTTAGTCTAACAGATGGACCAGGGAGCAAAATGGAGAATTCCCAGGCTCTTGGAAATATCCTTTCCTCAGGAGTTTTAAAAGCACTAACAGAAGTCAGCAAGAGAGCCAACCGACAGAGCCAGGAAAGTGGGGTTCAATTTACACAGTTTGTGAACAGCACTCAAAATACACAGCCTGTATATCACATAGAGTAAGACCATCCAGCCTAGAAGGACAGAAGGCAGGCAAACTGGCTTGTTTATGCACACAGTGTCGGGTCAGACTTGAGGTATTTACTGTTCTTAATGTTCTTATTCAAACAGTTGCTTTGCATTTATTTAGTTCTCACTTAATTCTTAAAATTTGGCCTCGAATCCTGCTATGGGTGGACTTCAAAAGGACGATTTTTACACATATGAACCATATAGTCCTTATGGATCTTAGTCTAAACTATAGGCAAGGGCAGACTTCTAGGTTTAGTTAATTAAAAAAGTAGTTTAACTGAAATATCAATCTTCTAGAATCAATTCACAAAAAACTGTATTTCCATGTCTGTCAACCCCAGACATGGGGTTGCTCTGGGAACCCCTGCTTTGGGAACTGTGAAACTACTAAGGCAGGGATGAGTAGCCACCCGTCCACAGCCTTGCTGGCAGCAGCATTTCTTGGAGGACTGGCATCTTTTGCCCCAGAAAAGTTGGTCCTGCTAGAGACGGCAGGACTGGGAGCTAGAGCCTTAGTGGAGTAGACATCTCTAGCTAGGTGTCCCCTCCTCCTCCAGGGACTTTGAAGTGCTCATCCGTAATGACAGGTTCAGGCTCTCCAGAAGTAAATTCTGCCCGCCTACGTGGCTCCTGGAACCCAGGGGAAGGCTCAGGGCTCTCTTTAACGACCAGGTACTGGTGAGTGTTAACACACACCCTTCATTATCTCCTGAACTGATCGCCAACTAGAGAGGAGCCATCCTTACAGCATGCATTTCATAGTTACGTGAACCTTACTGCCAAATAAAACAAGTGCTGTGCCCAGTCCACCTGTCTGCATCCCCTCCCAAATACACTGGCACTGCTGTTGCATCGGTGACAAAACAGCAAAATCCTTGCTCTGCCCAGGCGAACTCAAGAGCTGAAAGAAGTTTATTTCCCCCTTCTGTTCTAACATCCATCCCCATCCTTCCAACTTCCCAAAGAACTGGAAGTCTGTTGTAGGGGGCAGTAAGTCTGTAGCCTTCGAGGAATAGTCAGTAAACGCAATTCTCCCCTGAACCCTTTATCCCCAGTCTCTTCAAAACTTCAACTGGCCTGAAGGACAGAGTTGTCCAATTGCAGCCATGAGGAGGGAGCAACCAAGGGGCAGTGAAAGGACTGGAGCCCCCAGTTCCCCGGGTGGTCTCTGCCAAGGCAAGGGGGCGCGCGTGGCACTCACCGAGGAGCCGGCCCAGAACGGACACGAGTTCTTCACTTGAGGGGAGCTGCTCAGAGACAGCGCCCCGAAGCTGAGAGCCACCATGCAACAGCCCAGGATCAGCTGAAGCAGCCCGAGCGACAACAGCGGGCGAGCGGGCAGCAGCGCAGAGCCCGGGGCCGCGGCGGC